GCTTTTACTTTTTGAAAGGTTTGAGTTTTTATAACAGTATCATGTAGTTTCACCGGTTGTAATTGTTCCGGAATTGTGAACATGTTTTTGTCTTCATCCATAATAGAGGTTATACAGACCACATTTGTTTTTGGGTCTTCGCTTGGTTTTACAATAAATTCGAATTTTAACTTTTCCATTGTTTACAACAGCTATAAATAATGTTGTTTTGTAATAGGTTGGATAATGAAACAAGATACTTATGTTGTTGCTCTGTAAAAGAAAGTTTAATTATAAATACAACATAACCAATGAAATGGTTTGCAAATACACAACTCACTTAGGTAATTAGTATTAGATAAACATTATGGTCCACTAACCTGTAAAAGAAACAACATTAAGAGCTATTGCTTCAAACAATCCTTTGTATCCTTATTTTAAAAATAATTTCCACAAATATCTTTCGCGCTTATTCTATAATCTCGAGACGAAACAAAACCATTGTCTTTGACATAGTGGAAAAAAGCTGTCACCACAGATTATACTGACGTATAAAGTCTAAACCAAAATACGCGGGAAATTTAAATTAAATGAAGGGCTAACTTAGCTTCTTCATTTACATATATATATATCTATATAAATAAAAATGAATTTCTGTTCGTTAGTCTCGCTAAAACTCGAGAACGACTGAACCGATTTGGCTAATGTTGGTCTTAAATTGTTCGTGGGAGTCTAGGGAAGGTTTAAATGGTGAGAAAAATAATTTTGGCGGTACGTAGTTCGCCGGGTCAACTAGTATATATATATATGTCGGAGGAAGCTGGGAGTTAATTGTTACTTGCATTGCATAACGCACATTAATTTTTATTTGTTTTATATTCACTTTTTAAAATGCCTAAATTAATTTTAATTGATTTGTCACACTTAAAATTCTTAATTTGATTTATTAGAATTATTGATAATTTGAATTTGACTTCCTAAGTAACGACCAATCAGAGCAGAGCGCGCGCCTCGAGCGGGGTCGAGGCGCCATCTTACGGATAAAAAGAGAGATAGTTTTGGCGGGAGAGCATGAATTAGCCATCGGTCGAGGCGGATCGTTTATGTAATTTTACTGTAAGATCGGTGCCCTGAACCCGCTGCTCAGTCCTAATTATTAACTTTTCTTTTACGTTATTGTGAAACAGATAAAACTATTGTTACTATCTAAATTAAAATAGTATTTATTGTGATCGTTGTGTTTTGTGCTCGCATTTTACCCTCATGACGCCCACTAAACCCGCAATCACTAATGACGATGTCGGCGATGACAATGTTTCTCCGACATATATATAATTATATATATTGGAAGTTTTATTATATTTTTCTGATAACTGTTGGAACCTTGCCGATCACCCGGTACCATTATTTGAACATCGACTACAGGGACACCTTGTATATTGTATACATAGTGGTGTGTACGTACGTTGCTTGCTTGTCGGCGAATTTTAATCAACCGCAGTGCTTGTTATAGTCAAGATACACACACACACATACATATCGTGCCATATGGTTGGGCAGGACCACATAGGGTTTAGTGATTGTTTTACATTTTGTTGGTATATTGGAGCCGCCCAACCAGAACGCCAGACGCGGTCACGTGTCTATTACTTTATACGTAATACAAACTCGAGCCTTAGTTAGAGTGAGGGCTTGATCAGAACGCCAAATGACACAATTCTGTCATACCTCTCTCGCTAACATTCATCGATCTCGGAATGTTCTGAAAGTCTCTCTGAACATACCACGGCAGCACGTATCATGTCATGAATCACTATAATAATACTATTTATTTGTTTTCAGAACTCTTAACGAGAACGACTCAGATAAGAAGTAGCATCACTTCCAACATCTCCAGAGACTAT